ATGGCCCATGGACTTTCTTTCAGTCAACTTGTATTCAATGTAATATGGGTTCATTATTTCAATAGCTGTTTAGTATTTCATAAGGAGCTGAGCTACCCACATTGCAGACTGTCTTTCCTAATCTTTCTCTTCAAGTTGCTATTATATCAATCCTACAAAAATATTTGAGATTGTTAAATTTAAACTGTGTTTCTAAGCAAGAACAACTTTGTTTCCCTGGGAACATTGAACAATGCTTTGTAGAAGTATCTATCTGTTACTCAGGGAGTAGTGGGTGGAGGTCAGGGATGCTCTAGGCATCCTGAAGGCACAGAACAGACCCCACCACAGAGAACAGCCTGTCTGAAAATGTCAACAGCGCTGAGAGAGAGAAGCCTCCAGGTAAAGAGCTTCTGTACTTTTACTATCTGTGCCGTTGTTCAGATGGCTTTCCCAACAGTGCAACATTTTAAATTTCTGTCTGCAAACAGATAGTGAGCCTTTGCTGCCTGTTTCAAAGTACCACTGTAAACTGTGTGACAACTCTTTAAGTATTTCCCCAGATGGATGATTGTGAAAAAGTATTCTTTTCTTAACTGTTACTGAGTGTGATAAAACATACATTGAATTGTCATTTTGATGTGTCAATATTATTCTTATATGCCCAGATGATATAAACCTCTTATTCTACCACTATCAGCTTTTGAAATGATTTTTAAGAATTGTTGTTTCTCAGTTGACCTTTTGGGGACTGTTTTGCTGTAAAAATGCTTTTTCATTTTACATAGTTATATACATCTATCTTGTGCTGGATTTCTTGCTTTAAGACAGTTCGGCACACTTGTGGATTTTAGTGTGTAGTTTTCTATGTATTCACCAAAAAGGACTGGTTTTTATATTGGACAGATAATCCGTCTGATTTATTCTATAATCTAATATTCCCGAATTGAAGTACATTTCTTACATGTCTTTAACAAAATCTGTTACATTATATATTATATATATTATATTCATGTTTACACATTTCCCAATTTAATTATTAGTCTACTTGAATATTGTTTGAGTAGTGTGTGAAACTTCATTCAATTTTTTAAAAATACAAATATTTTGGAACTAATTTATTCAATTATTTTTCCTGCAATTCCCTTTATTTTGTAACTTCACATATATTTAAATAAGTTTCTGTTTGACGGCATGCATGCTAAATGTCTTCATTTGTGTCTGACTCTGTGAGGATATGGACTTTTTTTTCTTTACCAGAAATCAAAGCTTAGAAGACCCAAGAGACCTCATCAAGACAAATCCTCAGTGTTATAGTTTAAAGAAGAATTAGATCTCAGGGATGTGATGAGGTTCTGTGAGCCTTAGTGCTTTGAAAGCAGAATTAAAGGGGAAGGAATGATAAAAACTGAATCACCCAACTTATAATGCAATCACCTAGTAACAGAGAATCAACAGAAAAATAATTGCTTTGTGTCCAGCCCAGTGTCCCCAAGGAAAGTCATGTACTTGGAGGCTGGAGTAACAAAAGGCAAATATACCTAATTAGCTGACATGTTTGCATGCTTGCTAAGTCCCTTCAGTCCTCTCCAACTCTTTGAGACCCATGGACTGTAGCCCTCTAGGCAACTCTGTCCATGGGATTCTCCAGGCAAGAACACTGGAGTGGGTTGCCATGCAGTCCTCCAGGGGATTTTCCTGACCCAGGGACCAAGCCGCCATCTCCTGTGACTCCAGCTTTGCAGGTGGATTCTTTATCACTGAGCCACCAGAGAAGCCCTGTGAGCTGACACAAGGAGCTGGAAATATCTCCTCTGCTGCAGCCCCTCCGCCTGTGCCACTTTGGTTGGTGAGGACCTAGTTCTTAATTTAGATCCCTGAATCTGTCTGGGAGCAAATGCTTGATTTTATCCCCTCCTGTTGTCTTGTTTAGGCACAAAAATTCAGTCTGCATCATTAATCATTTAGAAAGGAACTTGGACTTCTACAGGGCAAGCGTTCTCTCTCAGTCTGCAGGCAGGTGAGAGCTCTGCACACATGTCAGGGGAGGTTCAGAGAGGACGGAAACCAGGAGTAGGTGCCTGAGGTCTCCTGAGGGCCAATCTAGTGTTTCCAGAGGCCAGAGGTCACTGTGGTTATTTCTGGCTTTCCTATTGTTAGTGTATCTATTTAGGTCTAAAAGTAAAATGACCCCTTCACTCCTCAATGTTGACAAATGGTAACAGAGGAAGCTCAGTTAGAAGGAACAGTGGTGGTGGTTTAGTTGCTAAATTGTGTCTGACCCTTTTGTGACCCCATGGACTGTAACCCACCCAGCTCCTCTGTCCATGGAATTTCCCAGGCCAGAATACTGGAGTGGGTTGCAATTTCCTTCTCCAGGAGATCTTGCTCACCAAGGGATTGAACCTTGGCTTCCTGCATTGCAGGTGGATTCTCTACCAATGAGCCACTAAGGAAGCCCTGTTAGAAGGAATGGGAGACATAAAAGGCTTCCAGTAAAAGTAGACAATAAGTCGAATAATCTTATTTATGAACAGGAGTAAACAAATAGGAAAACTCCTCAAGAAAAAGAAGTATTCTGCTTCTTCTTATTCAATATATTCAACTTTTGTTGTATCTCATTTATTTCTGATTTTAAATTGGTAGTTTATATTCCATTTGCTTATTCTCTTGGGATATTTAAACTGTAAAATGTATCACGTCATAAATATATCCCCAGTTATGTTCTTGGAAAAAAATATTTTTCTTCCTTTATTTTTTCTGGGCATGAAGATGCCACTGGAGTTGGAATATTGATGAAGGAAGGAAACTTTTCTTCATTGCATTGTCTCAGGGGCCATTTGAGTTTATTGGATATTTTCCCTCTTAATTTGCCTATGTCCATTTCATTTCTCTTTTTTCTTTCTCTCTCATGCTTTTCATTCTTCTCTAAATACTGAGAAGAAATTAGCCATACCAACATTGAACCCGAAATTTATTGTTCAATGGGAAGTTTATAAACTGGAATTTGGGGGTGGGATGGGGAGGGAGACGGGAGGGGGTTCAGAAGGGAGGGGATATATGTATACCTATGGCTGATTCATGTTGAGGTGTGACAGAAAACAACAGAATTCTGTAAAGCTATTATCCTTCAACTAAAAAACACATAAATTAAAAAAAAAAATAAACAAAAAACCAACCCTGGAACTTCTGGGTAAAAATTATACATTCTTTTGGAGAATAATAATTTGATATGACCAGCTTGATTTGTAACCATTCATGGCCTAATAAGGGTGTATCTGGGTGACCAGTTTATGATAGTGACACAAGCCAGAAGCATTGTGCGTGTGTGTGTGTGTGTGTGTGTGTGTGTGTGTGTGTTTGCCTGGGCCTTGTGAAGATAGACCAGTTCTTAAAGCGGAGGCATCTGTACTCATATGTTAAGATGACTTATAATACAGGGGTCAGAATTTGGTTAATAGATGGAAATACGTAGCAAAACTGACATAAATCACAGGATGATTTTAAACTAAATTCATAAAGTGCAAGGAACTGAGAGGGTAACAGGCAGGAAGGCCAGGGGTCTCCAAATGCAGGAAATAGGCTGCAAGTGCCAGGCATTTTTATCTCTCTTAAGCAGCAGGAGGAAACAAGCCATCGATATTTTTTTCTTCTCTATACAAATTTAAAAGGAGGTTTCTCTTAAAATGCTGTGTTGACATGACACCTGGTTTCACCTGAAGCTAACTATTCTCAAACCTTGAGTTAACCAATACATTTCTTTTTCTTATAGAAATGTTTGTCTTAAGCTATGTTAATGTGCTATGCATTTACGCCAGACTCTAAGTTCAGCCAAAATGGCTCAAACTATACTCAGATATTGTTCCCCTAATCTATGTAAATGAAACTATTTGTTTGGTAAACTGCCCTTCTACAAGATTCAAGTCAATTGTTTATGGCCAGAGATGAATTATCTGCTGCAATACTAAATTTTATGGCATTCCTTTCTTTTCCTTAACAAACTGCGAGTGGCTATATAACATCCAGCTAAAGACTAGTAGGGGGATACTCTTTCTTCCCCCTTCTGATGCATATGTCAAAAGTTTTCTCTATCTCCTTTATACTTTAATAAAACTTTATTACACAAAAGCTCTGAGTGATCCAGTCTCATCTCTGGCCCCGGATTGAATTCATCTCCTGTGGAGGCCAAGAATCCCGCTGTCTTATCGTTCAACAACAACCTTTCAGAACCACATGGAAGGAGGGGTTCTCTATGTGCTGAAGGTTCAGCTGTAGCAGGGAGGCCACCTTGTTCCTCAGCATCCTTGACACTGTCTCTAATCACTCCCCCTACTACTAATTCCTTCACCCCACTGGCTTTATTACACTTAACATGTGGAACAAGCATCTTCCTCAGGTCCTTAACAGTAGCAGCTCCCTCTGCCAGACACACACTTCTTCTGACATCAAAAAGGCTTCTCTCTTCAGGATCTTAAAAATCACCTAGTTTGAAGCTCTTCCCTGAACAGTCAGGACAAAATAACACCTCCTGCCAGGCTCTCCTTTATACTGGTTTTGTTTTCTTCATAGCATGTGTGACATCCTGAAATATTCTATCATATTTTATTTGAATATCCTCAATCATTATCCTTGGACTGGGAGAGGTTTATTTTTCAGCACTTTCTACTGGGTCAGCATAAATACGTATTTCTCAAATAAATGAAGAAATACCTCATTAGAACTCTAGAATAGATGAGCTCTTTGCCAATGTGATGAAAATGGGACAAAAATTCTTTGTCAGAGATGAAATGGAGTATACTTTGGAAGAAAACTTTTCTATAAATAAGGTATTATGATCAATTACTTGAGGGTTAAATAGAAATTGCAGTATTTCAGCTATGTAAATTATGCCAGTTTTTGTGCAAACGAGTCATGTTATTTTCCTTTTTCCTGATAGGCACATCCACCCCATGGAACCAGGGAATAATACATGAATTTTAGAATTTCTTCTTCTGGGACTTTCATAAGAACAAGAACTGCAGCCCCTCATCTTTGGGCTCTTCCTCTCCATGTACCTAATCACTGTGTTTGGAAACCTGCTCATCATCCTGGCCATCAGCTCAGACTACCACCTCTACACTCCCATGTACTTCTTCCTCTCCAACCTGTCCTTTGTAGACATCTGTTTCAACTCCACCACCATCCCAAAGATGCTGTGGAACATCCAGACACAGCGCAAAGGTATCACCTATGAAGGCTGCATCACCCAGATGTATTTTTACATCCTGTTTGCAGGATTGGATGACATTCTCCTGAGTGTGATGGCCTATGATCGGTATGTGGCCATCTGCCACCCCCTGCACTACATGGTCATCATGAGCCCCCGGCTTTGTGGACTGCTGGTTCTGATATCCTGGGTGATGATTGCCTTCTATTCCTTGCTACACAGCTTAATGGTGTTGCGATTGTCCTTCTGTCCACTTGTGCAAATCCCCCACTTTTTCTGTGAACTCAGTCAGGTGGTACAACTTGCCAGTTCTGACAAATTTCCTAATAGGACAGTGATGTATTTTGCAGCTGTCCTGATGGGTGTTGGTCCTTTTGCTGGTATCCTTTGCTCATATTCTAAAATAGTTTCCTGCATATGTAAAATCACATCAGCTCAGGGGAAGTATAAAGCATTTTCTACCTGTGTGCCCCACCTCTCAGTTGTCTTCCTATTTTATTTTACAGCCTTAGGAGTGTTCCTTAGCTTTGGGACTACCTATACCTCACATTCAAGTACAATTGCCTTGGTCATGTACACTGTGGTCACACCTATGCTGAACCCTTTCATATACAGTCTGAGAAACCGAGATATAAAAGAGGGTATAAAGAGGTTGTATTTGATGCCAAGTATAAAAGACCAATTATACTAGTGCTCTGGATTGCATAACTCAAAGTATCAAAACCAGAAATTCTTATTTGATCATTGTGAAATAAAATTTGCTCCTTGCATTTATTTCCTGTTATTTCCATTTTTCTTTCCTTCTTTGAATTCAGTGTCTTTACAGAATTTTAGGAATTCTCTTTTAATTGTTATTCACAGTCTGCAAGTCTGTTCTCTATGTCTGTGAGTCTGTTTCTGTTTCAGAGATAAGGACATTTGTGTCATATTTTAGATTCCACATATAAGTGATATCATACGGTGTTCACAACAAGCCATTATGAAAGCAAACAATCTGATATGTTTTGCTACCATGAAATGGTATGGTGATCTTTTTTCTGTTGCAAATAAAAATTGTTTACCTCGAAATTTTCTTGTGCCCGAGGTAGATCTGTATTGCCAAATATTTCTATCTTAGTTCAGTTTTAGTATATCTCATAGATTTAAATATGTGATATTTTATTTTCAGTTGTCTTCAGATGATTCTCTATTCTTCCTTTGGTATTTTTATTGACCTAATAGTTGTTCAGTAGCATGTGTTTCAGTTTTTACATAGTTCTGTTTTTTGTTTCCAACTTTCTTCTTTTATTTGATTTCTAGTTTCATAACCTACTGATCAGAAGAGAAGCTTGATATGATTCTAAACTTCCTAAATTTATTGAGGCTAGTTTTGTGCCCCCAAAATGCGGCCTATTCTTGAGAATGTCCCATGTGCCCTTGAGAAATATGTATATTCTTCTGCATTAGAATGGAATGTTCTATATAAATATATCAAATGCATCTGGCTTATATTTAATTTAGCTGATACTTATTTTTTTACTTTCTGGCTGGATGATATTTATTCATATATCAGGATTGTTAAAGTCATGGGCTATTATTGTGTTACTGTCAATTACTCGCTTTAGGTCTGTTAACTATTGTTTTATATGTTTTGTGCTCCTGTGTCCAGTTCAGTTCAGTTCAGTCGCTCAGTCATATCCAACTCTTTGTGACAGCATGTATTGCAGCACACCAGGCCTCCCTGTCCATCACCAACTCCCAGAGTTTACTCAAACTCATGTCCATTGAGTCGGTGATGCCATCCAGCCATCTCATTCTCTGTCATCCCCTCCTCCTCCTGCCTCCAATCCCTCCCAGCATCAGGGTCTTTTCCAATGAGTCAACACTTCGCATGAGGTAGCCAAAGTATTGGAGTTTCAGCTTTAGTTTCAGTCCTTCCAAAGAACATTAGGAGACCCCAAACTGAACTGAACTGACCCCACAATGTTCAAAACAGCTCCAGAGAAAGTCTTAGATATATTTTTACTATTATCATAATTTAAATTAAATAAAAAAATAAAAAAAATTTAATGATTTTTTTATTTTTAAGTCCCGATTACTCCTTTAATTTTCATTTTTATGACCTAATATTACCTTGAAAAGAAAAAGAAAAGGAAGACCCCATTTTTAAAAGCAAACTTTATATGTATATATATTTTATAATTTTGGTGACTTTCTTGTTGATGTTATGTTTTGTTTTGTTTTAATATGTATTTTTGAGAATCTAACTTATACACTAGATTTTTAATCTTTGCTTTTTGGTATTTGTTATTAGCTTTGTATCTTTAAGAACCCAATCTTCAGTACCCATTTTTACTTGGGAGTGAGATCACAGGCCTGATTGCTCTGTCCCCCTTTTGACTCTTATTTCCTCCACCAGGTCGCCTCTATCTCCCCCCTCCCTCTTTTCTTCTCTACCCAGTTCAGTGAATCTCTTTGTGTGTTCCAGGCTGTGGAGAACATTTAGGGATCTGATTACTGGCTGGGTCTGTCTCTTTCCTTTTGACTCCCCCTTTTATCCTCCTGTTCACCTCTGTCTTCTTCCTCCCTCTTCTCTTCTCTGTGTAACTCTGTGAACATCTCTGAGGGATCCAGACTGTGGATAGCACATAGGGAAGTGAATACTGGCTAGCTTGCTCTCTCCCTGTTTTTTCCCCCCTCTTCTTCTCTTGGTCACCTCTGACTCCTTCCTCCCTCATTTCTTCTCCATGTAACACTGTATGCCTCTCCGGGTTTCCCTCGCTGTGGATAAACTTTTCATCATTAACCTAGATGTCTTCTCATTGGTGCTGTATAGATGAAGAAGTCTTGAGGCTCCTGTAAGAATGAGACTGAAAAGCAGAAAGAGGAGGCTTAACTCCAAATCTTGAGAACACTAAAGAACTCCTGAATCCAGGGAAGGTTTATTGATTGGAGCTTATCAAATGCCTCCATACCTACACTGAAACCAACCACCACCCAAGGGCCAACAAGCTCCAGAGCAAGACATACCACATAAATTATCCAGCAACACAGGAACATGAACCTGAGTCTCAATATCCAGGCTGACCAAAATCACACCAAACCCACTGACATCTCAACACTCATTACTGGACACTTCATTGCACTCAAGAGAGAAGAAATCCAGCTCCACCCACCAGAACACCGATGCAAGCTTCCCTAACCAGGAAAGTGACTGAAGATGAAGGACTGGAAAAAGATATTCCATTCAAATAGAGACCAAAAGAAAGCAGGAGTAGCAATACTCATATCAGATAAAATAGACTTTAAAACAAAGGCTGTGAAAAGAGACAAAGGTGGACACTACATAACAATCAAAGGATCAATCCAAGAAGAAGATATAGCAATCATAAATATAAATGCACCCAACATAGGAGCACTGCAATATGTTAGACAAATGCTAACAAATATGAAAGGGGAAATTAACAATAACATAACAGTGGGGGACTTTAATATCCTACTCACACCTATGAATTGATCAACTAAATAAAAAATCAACAAAGAAACACAAACTTTAAATGATACAATGGACCAGTTAGACCTAATTGATATCTATAGGACATTTCATGCCAAAACAATGAATTTCACCTTTTTCTCAAGCACACATGGAGCCTTTTCCAGGATAGATCACATCCTGGGCCATAAATCTAGCCTTGGTAAATTCAAAAGAACTGAAATCATTCCAAACATCTTCTCTGACCACAGTGCAGGAAGATTAGATGTCAATTACAGGAGAAAAGCTATTAAAAGTGTCAACATATGAAGACTGAACAAAACGCTACTGAATAACCAATAAATCACAAAAGAAATTGAAAAAAAATCAAAATATGCATAGAAATGAATGAAAATAAAAACACAACAACCCAAAACCTATGGGACACTGTTTAAAAGAAGTGCTAAGGGGAAGGTTCATAACAATACAGGATTATCTCAAGAAACAAGATAAAAGCCAAATAAATAACCTATCTCTACACCTAAAGCAAGATGAAAGGAAGAAATTATGAACCCAGGGATAGTAGAAGGAAAGAAATCTTAAAAATTATGGCAGAAATAAATGCAAGAAAAACAAAAGAGACCATAGAAAAAAATCAACAAAACCAAAAATTGGTTCTTTGAAAAGTTAAATAAACTTGACAGACCATTAGCCAGACTCATCAAGAAACAAAGGGAGAAGAATCAAATCAACAAAGTTAGAAATGAAAATGGAGAGATCACAACAGAAAACACAGAAATACAAAGGATCATAAGAGACTATTATCAGCAAATATATGCAAATAAAATGGACAACTTGGAAGAAATGGACAAATTGACAGAAAAGTACAACTTTCCAAAACTGAACCAGGAAGAAATAGAAGATCTTAACAGACCAATCACAAGCATGGAAATTGAAACAGTAATCAGAAATCTTCCAATGAACAAAAGCCCAGGACCAGACGGCTTCACAGCTGAATTCTACAAAAAATTTAGGGAAGAACTAACACCTATCCTCCTCAACTCTTACAGAAAATTGCAGAGGAAGGCAAACTTCCAAACTCATTCTATGAGGCCACCATCACCCTAATACCAAAACCTGACAAAGATGCCATAAACAAAGAAAACTACAGTCGAATATCACTGATGAACATAGATACAAAAATCCTTAAGAAAATTCTAGCAAACAGAATCCAACAACATATTAAAAAGATCATGCATCATGACCAAGTGGGCTTTATCCCAGGGATGCAGGGATTCTTCAATATCCACAAATCAATCAATGTAATACACCACATTAACAAATTGAAAAATGAAAAAAACACATGATTATCTCAATAGATGCAGAGAAAGCCTTTGACAAAATTCAACATCCATTTATGATAAAAACCCTCTAGAAAGCAGGAATAGAAGGGACATACCTCAACATAATAAAAGCTATATATGGCAAAGCCTCAGCAAACATTATTCTCAATGGTGAAAAATTGAAAGCATTTCCCCAAATTCAGGAACAAGTCAGGGGTGCCCACTCTCACTACTACTATTCAACATAGTTTTGGAAGTTTTGGCCACAGCAATCAGAGCAGAAAAAGAAATGAAAGGAATACAGATAGGAAAAGAAGTAAAACTCTCACTGTTTGCAGATGACATGATCCTCTACATAGAAAACCCTAAAGACTCTACCAGAAAATTACTAGAGCTAATCAATGAATACAGTAAAGTTGCAGGATATAAAATTAACACACAGAAATCCCTTGCATTCCTATACACTAAGAATTGAAAAACAGAGAAATTAAGGAAACAATTCCATTCACCATTGCAACGAAAAAAATAAAATACTTAGGAATATATCTACCTAAAGAAACAAAAGACCTATATATAGAAAACTATAAAACACTGGAGAAAGAAATCAAAGAAGACACAAATAGATGGAGAAATATACCGTGTTCATGGATTGGAAGAATCAATATAGTGAAAATGAGAATGCTACCCAAACAAACTATAGATTCAATGCAATCCCCATCAAGATACCAACGGTATTTTTCAGAGATAGAGCAAATACTTTTACAATATGTATGGAAATAGGAGAAAAAAAAAACTTGAATAGCCAAAGCAATCTTGAGAAAGAAGAGTGGAACTGGAGGAATCAACCTGTGTGACTTCAGGCTCTACTACAAAGTCATAGTCATCAAGACAGTATGG